GTCATTTGTATTCTATTAATTTTATTTTTGTCAAGTAACAAATTTGGGATTTTATAAACGCTCTATACAGATAAGCTAATTTGCATATTATAATATTTTATTTGAATAATTCTTCTTGAATTTGTGTTATAAGCAAACCCTTAACATCATCCACTGAACAGGCATAGGACAAGATACTCGTAAATCTTAACTTGTTTTTGGGCAAGTATGTATTCACTTTGGGCATTCATAAAAACAAGATTTTTGTGCACTAACTACAAATCAATATTTTACGACCTTAAACATATCATTCATTAAATAAAAGCATAGATCTCAATATATATGTACTAATAGCAACAGCTGCAGACCAAATGCAATATATACTCCTATTAATACATTATAATCTATAACAGCACCACAATTTCTAGATATTCACAGATCATGTAACATGTCTTGTCATTGGCTGATGCACATGTAAATGTTAAACTGTCCCCGATTGGTGGGATTCCTACAAAAACACCTTCGTTTTAGATATTGATTACAATCACAGCTGTGCCAGTCATCAATTGATGTACAAATCTCCATGTGACTTTTTTTATAATCACTAACCGGCATACAATTTACAACAGACACGTGGAGGATGAATATGAAATTTGGAAATCAGTTTTTCAACTGAGATGAATGCAGAAGTAAGGGTGTAATTAAGAAAAATAGGCATTTTATATTCAAAATCAAACTGGGTGGAGATTGGCTGGCCACAGCATGTTCATATAATATAAAGTGTAACCGAGATGTGATCTTATGCAATTTAATTATCTATTATGCATTGTAGTTCCTCAAGCTTATTGATTTGTTTTTATAATGGTATATGTCAGTAGCTCCTGTATTGATTTTGTCACGGCATATGTCAGTAGCTTCTGTATTGATTTTGTCATGGCATATGTCAGTAGTTTCTGCATTGATTTTGACATGCCATATGTCAGTAGTTTCTGTATTAATTTTGACATGGCATATGTCAGCAGCTTCTGTATTGCTTTTGTCATGCTATATGTCAGTAGTTTCTGCATTGATTTTGACATGCCATATGCAGTAGTTTCTGCATTGATTTTGTCATGCCATATGTCAGTAGTTTCTGCATTGATTTTGTCATGCCATATGTCAGTAGTTTCTGTATTAATTTTGTCATGGCATATGTCAGCAGCTTCTGTATTGCTTTTGTCATGCTATATGTCAGTAGTTTCTGCATTGATTTTGACATGCCATATGTCAGTAGTTTCTGCATTGATTTTGTCATGCCATATGTCAGTAGTTTGTGCATTGATTTTGTCATGCCATATGTCAGCAGCATCTGTATTGATTTTATCATGCCATATGTCAGTAGATTCTGTATTGATTTTGACATGCCATATGTCATGAAGGCATACAGTATGTCAGAACTTAAATTCAAACTTGGCAAGGTGGTAGCTTTTAGTTATCATAAGCAATAAACCTCACGGTTTAGAACCAACATTGTGCTCTCGTAACAATTGACAAGATTCTGATTAATTAACAAGTCATTGTCAATGACACGTCCCCGTTCCGTTCATATTTGAGTGACATATACATTCAAAGCAGATCATGACCGAAATGCACCTGCATATGTACAACACATTGTACTAAATCTGAACAAAATCCATGCATGCATGACTGAGATCCGGTTCTGGAATTGTGAAAATACGTGATTTTAATGCATTTTCGGCCTTAAAATGGCCATCATTCAGCTATTGCTAAGCGGATCATGAAACAAATGCACATACATATTTGTGACATGATGTACCTTGTGTGTGTGAAGTTTGAACTTGATCAATCCAGACATGTCTTGGATACGGATCCAGAACTGAATTCTTTAAGAAAATGGCCGCCAGTCGGCCATTTCGAACTTGATCCG